GGGTCTTCCATTGTTCCCTTTGATCCTTATGATTGTGCCATTGCCAATATTTTTTTATTTGGGTTCAGTACAACGCGGATTTTTTTGGGAGGTTTCTCTAATTAAATTTTTGGTTAAAAATTTATATTTCTTTTGTATTTTATTTTATTACTTTTTTTATTTATACTAATATGTGAATGGAGTAACACAAAATCTGAAATTGTATTTGTTATTTATTTCTTCTTTTAAAATAATCATTATTTTTGTGTTTTACAAAAATTTAGAAAAAATTAAATATAGCGAGATTTTTAATAGGTTATACAAACACTCTACTCAAGTTGTGATATGTATATATATATATATATATATATATATATATATATATATATATATATATATATATATATTAATTATAAAAATGCTGTAAAATGAACTCTGCTTGTTAAAAAAAACATAGAACTTGAATGGCATGTACAAATCTCGAAATCAACATACTAACTCTAAGTTTCAGAAAATCTTACAAAATTATCAAAATTACCGTCTTTATCATCCTCAATCGTATCTCTACAATCTTCCATAAAAACAAAACCAATAGGGTTCTGTTACAAATGTTTTTCCTCCTCAATTTTCTTTTGTTGAAGGAGAGCCTCCTTAAGTATCTTCAAACTCATACCAAACGATATAAACTGCAAAATATATTGAAATACGTGAGAATATAGTTAGAAAAATATAGAAAATTCAAACAAAAAGAAAGTAGAGAGATGAGTCTGAGATTCTTTGATTGAAGAATCCCTTGTATTTATAGGTAGAAAATACTAATTCAAAAGAAAAGTATAATAATTTATTTATTTAAGGGAAAGTATAATAATTTATTTATTTAAGGTAATAACATTATTATTCTTATTATTATTATTATTCTTATTATTTATTTATTTATTTAATTTATTTATTTATTTAATTTCTATTTGACATTTACTTACCAAATAAGTTTTACTACAAAAGTTTTGGGGGAAAAATTTGTTAGGAGGATTTTACTTTTATATATATATAGACTTACCAAATAAGTTTTACTACAAAAGTTTTGGGGGGAAAATTTGTTAGGAGGATTTTACTTTTATATATATATAGATTACCAATTACCAATTACCAATTAAAATTAGAGTTACCATTTTACATTTGCTTACCAAAAAATTATATATAGATACTTAATTTATATTTGAAGAATATATTTACCTAATTTACTTTATATACAGTAATAAGTATGTCTACACATAAATGAATAATATATAATATATAATTTCAATATTTTGATATTTTTTTTTTGAGGGACAATATTTTGATAATTAATTAAATTAAAAAATTAGGATATTATATAAATGCCGCTAAGTTTTGGGGGAAAATTTATATGGTTTTTATAATAATAATAATATTATTATTATTATTATTATTATTATTATTATTTTATTATGCTTACATTATTTCATAAGATTTTTATTATACTTGAACAATAATATTTTCAATTATATTATAGAATATAATACCATACATAATATTACCAATTATGTAATATAACAATTAATAGATTTCATTTAATTTCCATTTGGCATTTACTTACCAAATAAACTTTACTACAAAAGTTTTGGGGGGAAAATTTGTTAGGAGGATTTTACTTTTATATATATATAGATATAGATATAGATATAGATTTATTGTTCATCTAATTCTATTAAAGGTATTTATTGTTCATCTAATTCTATTAAAGGTATTTATTGTTCATCTTTATAATTGTGGTCTTTAATATTGTTACAAAATTGTGCTTTTACTCATTTATTTTAGGAAAACAAAAGTCAAATAAACCCCTAAACTTTATTCAAAAAGTTAGACTTTTAAACTTTCAAAATTTATAATTAAATCCATAAACATATTATTTTGAATAATTGGTTGGTAACCTGTAATTACTCATCGTCGGAGAAGGCGAACAAATTAGTTGGGCTGGACCCTTTTCTACACAGGGGGCCAGCCTAGCCTACACAAACTGGCCCGTCTCGAGTTTGTCCAAAAACTATATAGCTCAGGAATCAAACCTCAACCTCTAAGTTAACTATTTACACCAATTTCAATCAAACACGCTAAACTTTTTGAACTAACACTATATATATATATATATATATATATATATATATATATATATATATATATATATATATATATATATATATATATATGGGCACGCTCTCATGCGAACGGCTGTCCAAGAGAGGAATGAGAACCATTCAGCGTTGTCCACGTGTCTAGATAAATGAATCGATGTAATTAAAAAAAAAAAAAAAAAAAAAAAACGACGCGGTGGCATTTTCGTAAATAACTTAAACTTTAGTGCATGTAAATGTATTATAAGTGCAAGTAGCTGATGCACATTTGCAAGTAAAACGTGAAGGTAAAATCTCTTACAAGTGCACCTACTTTCACTTATAAGTGCATGTAATTTTACCTTGTTAACATTCATGCACCTAGGTGCAACTACTTATAACTATATATGCACCTAGTTATAATGTTAGGTGCACTTAATTTTAATGCTCAGTGTAAATTTTACTTGCACTTGTAATACATTTTACCTGCACTTGTAATACATTTTACATACACTAAGGTGCACTATATGAAACTGCTACTTGCACTTGTAATACATTTTAGGAAAAATGACACTTTTCCCCTATGAGTTATATACTTATAGCACTTTTTCCCACTGAATTATTTAGGTGTCTGTTTTTTCCCCTGAAATGTTAAATAGACATATTTATTCTTAAAATAAATATTTCATTTATTTTTCTTCTCCAATAAATTATGACCACAATTTGGTTCAAACTAAACACAACCAAACCGAAATACTCTAATTACAATTTAGAACCAAATCCCTGATATTTAGAGTTTATTAAAATCGCGAACCGGGACGACCGGTTCATGTTCTGTACTGAAAAAAATTAAAATACATTTATTGTTGAATTTATATTATTTTAAAATAAAAAAATATAATATAAAATAAAGACGGTTCAAAATTGCGAACCGGATCCGGAACCATCGGTTCACGGTTCAAGATCCAGTTTTTTTTTATTCATAAATTTAATAAACTGAAATCCAAATATTGGGTTCTGAATCTGAATCATAACCGGAAATTTTTAATTCGATTGCTATAGTGTCTGGTTCAATTCAAATCAAACCGTGGCCATCTCTACGTATACACAATAATTTGTTGGAGAAGAAAAATAAATGAGTTAATACCCAAAATCGTCCTCGACTATAGTGATTTTTCTCAATTTCGTCCTAAACGACTTTGGTGACCTAATATCGTCTCAGACTTTTGTGTTTCGCTCAATTTAGTCCCAGATTTTTGTATTTTTGCTCAATTTAGTCCCTCATTTGTTATTCTGTCCATTTGGTGTTAAATAAATAGACAATTCAGTAATTTTAATATTGTCATCTCTTTACTCATAGACATGTGAATTGCGAATTTTTTTTTTTTTTTTTACGAATTACTCCTAGAATTACTCCTAAAACTGCGAATATAAAATTTGATTTGTAAGTTCGGGAGTAATTTTGGGTGTAATTCGTGCAAGAAAGAGGAATTTCGCACTTCACAAGTTGAAAGTAAAGATACATCAATATTGACATTACTGAATTGTCCCTTAATTTAACACCAATTTGACGGAATAACAAATGGAGGACTAAATTGAGCGAAACACAAAAGTCTGGGACAATATTAGGTCACCAAAGTCGTTTAGGACAAAATTGAGAAAAACCACTATAGTCGATGACGATTTTGGGTATTAAAATGTTTACTTTAAGGGTAGATATGTCAATTTAATATATCAGGGGGGTAAAATCGCCACTTTTAAAATAATTAAGGGGGCTAATGTGCTTACAGGAATAATTCAGGGGGAAAAGTGCTATAAGTATATAACTCAGGGGAAAAGTGTCATTTTCCCTACATTTTACTTGCACGTCGAAGTTCAATTATTTACAAAAATGCCACCATATATATTTTTTTAAAATCAATGTTTCTCATCCCTTAGGTCAGGACATTTGAACGGCACCCCTTAGGTCAGGACATTTGGACGGAACTGAATGGTTCTCACTTCTCTCTTGGACTGACAATTCACACCTGAACGCAATCCTATATATATGATCATATTCACATGAGAAAAACCTCACATGTGAGAATTGTAGACAAATCTAATCCGTCAATCTAGGACAATCAAATTCTAAAATCAATGAAAAAGGAGAAAAAAGTTTGTACTTGTCCATTTAGAAATATGTGATACTACAAGTGCATTTGAAAATGGTTTGGGTGCATGGAACACACTACTTGATTCTCATCACCTTTTTTCTCTTTGTCATTACAAGAATTTTTAAATGTGTCAGTTATTTGCAAATGTATTAATTGTACTTTTAATTATCCGCGAATGCATTATTAAATGATTTCAAATGCACTTTGAGCTATCATCTTTTTCATTAATTTTTCCACAATAAACAATAAAAAATAAAATATTTTCCCATCTCCACCTGGACCACCTTTGACTCTTGAGATCCACAATAAGATTTTTTAAAAAATCATGAATTTTTTGTTCGATGTAAAAAGAAAACAAAAAAACTTTATTATTATTTGTTTTTAAAATTCACATCAAATGAAGAACGTATATATATCCAATCCATATTCCATAACACTACCCAAAAATACCATATTCCAAGTTCCAACATTATCTTTAATATATTCCTGTTCCACTATGTCTATTTAAAAAAAAAAAATCAAAAAACTTAGGCAATCCCAATTTTACCGACTAATATTTTTCCAAAAAGTTGAACCCTACCCCTAAGGGCCCCACGCCCCGACCCGACAGAGCATTTGGGAGGTACCGACTAATATTAAATTTATAGAATCTCGTTAGAATTTATGCAGATGTAAACCGTGAATAGTACAATCAATACTCAATAATGTAGCTTAGAAAATATTTTCTGCACGTAAAGAATGGAAGGGGAAAAAAAGAAAAAGAAATTAACGTAGCACCAATAGGAATAGTACAGTTCTCCAATCCAATAAGAATCAATTGAATGCTTCAACAACGAAGACAATTAAGTTTCTAATTTAATATTCTACTGTATTTCACAAGAGCAAATTAAAGCAGGACAAACAAAACAAGGGAAAATGTAGTAGCTGCAATACAAGAGCGACTCCTGGGCGGCGGCGGCGACTCGGATTTCTTCCCGGAGTCGTTAACTTCCACGGTAGTATTCCTCACAACGAAATCGTGGCCTTTAGTGAACCAAAACAAGATCTTGTACCTTACCCTAGCAACCAAATCCACCCGGAAAACCGGGTTGGACTGGTTGAGAGCAGCCTCCCACGGCACTCCGCGAGTCTCAACCGCTCCAGATTTATCGGCTTTCTTGCCGTGGCCCTGGTAAAAGCCGGGAACGGTGGCGTTGGCGATGGGGAAACTGGTGTTTGGTCCGTAGAAGAAGCTGAGGTGGAGGTCGCTGTATTTGACGCCCTTGTCCTTCATCTTGTTGTTGAAATGGAGAGTGAAGAGGAGGGTGTGGTTGGATCTGGTGGAAGTTGAGTTAGTGGTTTTGTTGAGGGCTGGTAAGGAGAAGTGTTTTATGGAGTATGAGGGTTTGGTGGTGCGTAGGCTGAGCCAGATGAAGAGCGCTAAGAGGCCTAGAGTGAGTATGAACTTGGTGCAGCACTTGCAGCACTCGCATGCCGGACTGCCGTCCGACATGTCGGGAGAAGCGGCGGGTTAAGTTTTCCGGCGACTTATGGAGGAAGAGGAGGAGGAGAAAAGATGGTTAAGAAAAGGGGAGATTATGAGCTGAGGACTCCTCACTCCTCCCTCCTCCTCAGCTGTGAGGTTTTTACTGTTTTAAGTGCTTGGCAGTTTGGTACAATGACTCTGCTGTTTCTTGGGATTCTATGCTATAGAAATAGCCGCGTGAGAAATTTCTTAGTCTTGCCTAAAATATCCCAAAGTCAACTGCTTAGTTTCTCAATTCACCAGTTCCCGAGTAGACCTCAATGACCTCGCAATTTCCATCACTAAAGACATTCTAATTTGATAGTTAACTAATCTTAATATGCAACATTAATGAAGACGGCTAAGTACATCACTTCGTCGGAAAGTGATGAAATCAGCAACGAGAGAATCGACTGGTCCTGTTGGACCCAAGTCGCGAACGCCGGATTCGTCGTAGTGGAAGCAGCACCGGATTTGGAGGAAGCCGCGACATGGATGGCTGCCGTCGACATAGCCCAGAAGCCCCTGACCTCGGAGAAACGGGATTAATTGGGTGCACCAGAACAAATAATTCCATTTTGTGAATTTCATTGAGATGAAGTGGTGGTGTGATGCTAGGGAGGTGGGGGTGGCCGGCGCCGGAACAGCGGCGGTGACAGTCCTTTTGGAAGAGTTCGTTGACATTGGTTGATGGGTAGAGGGAGGATCGGGATATCTATCACTGATACCAGATGAGGTTTTGTTCAATATTCAAAATGTGAAAAGATAATACATGAATACTAATACAAACACAATTAGCGTAACTATACCTATAGAATAGGACATCTAGCTAAAATCATGTTTGACTAAACTATTTACACTCTAATATTCTAATAACTCTCACACGTATTTACCAAGGAGTAGTTCTATTATTTTCCATAAAGAAATACAACTATACCAGTATCCTCAAAGGACAACAACTTTAACCCAAAAAAAGTATAAATTTTTTTTTTAAAAATTCAGAGGGCAACTACATAGTAGTTTCCTAATTGCTAGTTGGAGAGCAAAATCCTATGACGTGGTCAGAGATAAGGCTCACTACCAACTCTGATTAGATGCCTCTAATGGAAGAAAACTTTGAAAGAACTAAATATGAAACAGTGCATGCCAAGGGGAGGAAAGTCAGGAAGATCATATTTAATTCCAAATATTTAAGTTGAAAAAGTCAATCAGGGAAGGAAAGAAACTAAAGTGTAATGTTTAAGTAATTATTAAGTAAGGACAAGCACAAAACTTGACAAATTGTATTTACATTATACTGAGCATAAAGAAAGCATGTTACTCATCATCCTTATAAGGGTACTCCTCGGGAACTTGCTTGAGCAACTTCAACTGCAACTCGAACACATCATCCCCTCGAAGCATATCACGGATCCAAGTGACCTCAGTTTTCATTGACACCTGAAAAGAAGAATAAAACAGGCAAATTTAGAAAGGGTGGTTTAATATAAAATCCACCACTCTCAGCATTTTCTTTTTAATCATACATCCTCAGGGTCCACCCGTTTCTTTTCCAGGGGTTTCGCCCTGCAAGTATTGTGATCTATCAAACTTCCACCCCCACCCTCCGCCACCACCACCTTTGAACACTTCAGACTACTGCTAAATGATGGCTTTTTACCATGTAAAAGGACACACCAGTTACCAACGGGTTTCCATCTTTTCACACTTAAACAGTTAAACCATCAAACCTTGCCCATCACAGCTCTCTTCAGTTGCTGCATATTTATCTCCTTTGCCATATATTGTACTATTTTGGTTAGATGATGTCCTCCTTAATCACAGAATATATTCAATCAATCTGGAAAACCTGAAATCTCAAACTGAAATTTGATACCCCAGGTTGGATTTCAAAAGGTTTGATTCAGAAATCTGGTGGAGTATTTGCCTCAAAGTTTGATTTGGAAATTGATTATGGATGCCAATCAAAAACCAACCTCTGGTACCAGAAATTTGATAGTGGCCTTGTTTGGTAAATAGCGGATCCGCCATTTTTGGTAGATCAGCAGTTTGGAGCAAGTTTTTGTTCCAAACGCTTCTTTTAGCAGTGTTTGGGTCTAGCGTTTTTGGAGAAAGAATTCACTTTCCTCAAAACGCCCCCTCATACAATTTTTTATTTTTTTTAAAGGCTCCATTTATGTTGCCCATCCGATGTTGGAACATCGGATGGCAGACTTCCAGGAGAGAGGCGCGTTGAGCTCCTTTTATAGAGGAGCTCAATGCCCCTTTCTCCTGGAATTTTCGATGTGGGACAATATGTACAAAGCTCAACGTGGCTCCCCTTTGTCTTGTTTTTTTTTTGTTGGGTATTATTATTATTGTTGTTGTAGTGTTTTTATTATTTTTATTTTATTATTACATAATAATAATAATAATAATAATAATAATAATAATAATAATAATAATAATAATAATAATAATAATAATAATATGAATGCCCTTATAGGTCTTTTTACATGTTAACCACTAATAGTAAACAACTATGATACAATCCGCTAACCGCTAACACAATTCGCTAACGGCTAACCGTCGATTGCCAAACAAGGCAAGCATATAAGAATTATATATTTATAATTGAACCGTCAAGGTCCTGAGTATTGATTATCTCTAATTTCAATGACTTGTTCTTATTGCACTGAATATAGAAGGAACAATTTGACAGATGATGGAAAATTCAAGTTGTGCTAATGTGAATATTTTCCCTAATGTCATATCTTAAGGAACAATTTGAGTTTTCAAAGGCGTCAGAGATAAGGCTCACTACCAACTCCAAAATTGGTAGCCATATTGTTTTGGGTACCCATAAACATGAGCTGGAAACCCAAAAATTTCCACTATGCAAGCTAAAGCTCGGATCTAGAATCAGATGGGGGAAAACATATCAAATAAAAGCTTGCACAGACATGCACTAGAAGTCTCTAGAAAGTTCATTATAAGTTAAGTGCACAAGAGGTCAGATGAATATTGAAAGAAACTCACCATCTCTAATGCCCCCCTGACAACTCCACTTAAGATATTGCAATAATATAGACCTTGACAAGTATCAGGAAGCTCAACAAAGTCCACCAGTGGGTTGTCCTCAAGAATTAGACTGCAGGTTGTTCCATCCGCATCCCAATTGGACACAGTTGCTGTGACACCCAAGAACATTTTAAAACCAACCTGTTCAAGGAAAAACAAAAACTTATCAGCACCTGATGTTCTCATTGAATTTAAGGTTATAGACTAATAGCATGAAGATTCCAGAGAACCATTTAAGGAAAATAAAAATAATAAGTAGATAAACAAAGAAAATAACCAGTCCAGAAACCAGCCTATACTTTACTGACTTTAGTTTTCCAGACAAAAGGATGTGCATAATGTGTATATATCAAACAGTTCACAGTTTACACAAGACAAAACCCAAAACCATTCTATTGAATATTGGTGTTGAAAAAATAAAAAAGATACCTTGGCAATGACTTCAGCCGTTTCCTTGAAATCCACACATCTAGAAACATTCGACTTTGCAAGGAACTCATCAATTAGCCGAACTCCAATGTTATACCCCCTGCAATGCAAGAGAATATATACAACAAATACAATAGTAAGAACAATTTGAAATCAATTATATATGGCGTTTATTTACCAATTCATTTCCAAAACCTAAAATCACAGCTAAGTATAGTGAGCAAAACTAAAAAGTAAAGAAAATGAAGCAAATGACTGAAGAGACAAGAAAAAATACATTTGATCAAGCTGCTTGTTGACTTCATCAACCTCCTCCAGATCGGTGAGCAGTTGACGCACGATCGCGCCATACGTTAGAGTGAAGAGCTCCGCGTTCTGGATCACAAATGATTCGAAGCGAACAAACAGATGTTAAGACATTCAATTGTAAGCTGGTAACAAAAGTATAACATTTCATTCAAATTTTAATTTGCAATACCACTCGCTCTACGTTGGCGAAAATGGCGTCTCCAGATCTGGGGGCGACGGGAGCCATGGAAGCCTTCGATCCGAGCTGCTACTCTTAATTTAGTACAAACTACAAAGTATGTGGGATTTCGAGTGTGCTTTCGACTTCGACTTCGATTTCGATCCCTGTATTAGCACAAAAGGGGAAGGAGCGGGTCGGGCTCAATTCGGTTTCATCCATTACCGAATCGGCCCAAATGTTTGGGCTTTTCTTTATTTTCGATTTCTTGACCCGTCTGGGATTTTTGGTGATAAATAAAGTATTGGTTTTTTTTTTAAAGTATTACCGACTCTGTTATAAATATTGGGTTGTTTTACTCATTTTTGTTTGTTCATATTAATGCTTTGGATGTCATTATATTATGATTGATTTTTTGTTTTTTTTTTTGTTTTTTAAAAATATTTTTAAAACATTTATTCTCATAATAAAGTCATACAGAACCAAACATCAATATTGATAATCACTTGAATTTCATCCTATTATCAACTGATTTTGATTCTTATATGCGAACCAAACACACACTTAGTAATTATTTTATATTACATAGGCATGAATTGATGATAATGTATTTAATATACATACAAATTAATGGTATTTAGAATTATTATTATTATTATTAGGGAAAATAGCACTTTTTCCCCCTAAGTTATATACTTATAGCATTTTTTCCCCCTCAATTATTTATGTAAGTACATTAGCCCCCTCAATTATTTTAAAAGTGGTGGTTTTTCCCCCTGATATATTAAATTGACATTTCTACCCTTAAAGTAAACATTTTATTTTTTTACTTCTCCAACAAATTATTGTGTATATGTAGCAATGACCACGGTTCGGTTCGAACTAAACCGCACACTATAGCAATCGAATTAAAACTTTTCGGTTATAATTCAGATCTAGAATCCAATATTTGAATTTCAATTTATTAAATTTATGAACCAAAAAAACTGGATCATGAACCGTGAACCGGCGATTATAGATCCGGTTCGCAATTTTGAACCGTCTTTATTTTAAAATTTTATTTTATTTTTTATTTTAAAATAGTCTAAATTCAACAATAAATGTAATTTATTTTTTCAGTTCGGAACATGAACTGGCCATTCCGGTTTGCGATTTTAATAAACTCTAAATATCGCATTTTGATTCTAAATTGTAATTGGAATATTTTGGTTTGGTTGGTATAGTATCTGTTTGGTTTGAACCAAATTATAGTAATAATTTGTTGGAGAAGAAAAATAAATGAAATATTTATTTTAAGAGTAAATATGTCCATTTAATATTTTAGGGGGAAAAGAACCACTTAAATAATTCAAGGAGAAAAAGTGCTATAAGTATATAACTCAGGGAGAAAAAGTGTCATTTTCCCTTATTATATATATATATATATATATATATAAATAAAAAAATGAATAGTATAAAACAAATTTATAAATTTTGCCGGATCGGATAATTATGAAGCGCGTAGGTTTTGAAGTCAAAATCGGCTACTTGCCAAATTGCAATTTCCGAACCTAATAATCTCCACCACGCAAAGAAAATCCGACAAATAATGCAAGCCGTTGCGTGTGGTATTGATCAATACACGTAATATCCAACACGTGTCCCTCCTTCATAGGTCAACAAGATAAGCACTTTCTTCGCAAGGCGGTCGAGACACGCCTTTATAATCTTCTCCTCCCTCGCCCTTTCTCATCCATCATACGATTTCTCTATTCTATCCAAATTTCTTCCTCCTCAAAACCTTCTCTCAAGGTAACCACAGTTTTCTCAATCTTCCTTCCTTTTTGTTTATTGTTATTATTGTTAATGTTAATTGTTAATTTTCTGTGTTATTCTTATTCGTGATTCGTGAATTGGGGATCTGGGGGTTGTGTTCTTTGATCTTCATAAATTGCAATTGGTTTTAGGGTTTTTTTTTTTTTTTTTTTTTTTTGGATTGAATTGGTGTTAATTGAGGATGTTTTATGTTTGTATTTGATGGTTAATTTGATTTTGTATTTGGATATATACAGATGCAGATCTTTGTGAAAACCCTAACCGGCAAGACCATCACTCTCGAGGTCGAGAGTTCCGACACCATCGATAACGTTAAGGCTAAGATCCAGGACAAGGAAGGAATTCCCCCAGACCAGCAAAGGCTGATCTTCGCCGGGAAGCAGCTCGAGGACGGCCGCACCCTCGCCGATTACAATATCCAGAAGGAGTCAACCCTCCATCTGGTGCTCCGTCTCAGGGGTGGGATGCAGATCTTCGTGAAAACCCTAACCGGCAAGACCATAACTCTCGAGGTCGAGAGTTCCGACACCATCGACAACGTCAAGGCCAAGATCCAGGACAAGGAGGGAATTCCACCAGACCAGCAAAGGCTGATCTTCGCCGGAAAGCAGCTTGAGGACGGCCGTACCCTGGCCGATTACAACATCCAGAAGGAGTCAACTCTCCACTTGGTGCTCCGTCTCAGGGGTGGGATGCAGATCTTCGTGAAAACCCTCACGGGTAAGACAATCACCCTGGAAGTTGAGAGCTCCGACACCATTGACAACGTCAAGGCCAAGATCCAGGACAAGGAGGGTATCCCACCAGACCAGCAGAGGCTGATCTTCGCCGGAAAACAGCTCGAGGATGGCCGAACCCTCGCCGATTACAACATCCAGAAGGAATCCACCCTCCACTTGGTTCTCCGTTTGAGGGGTGGCATGCAGATCTTTGTCAAGACCCTTACCGGCAAGACAATCACTCTCGAGGTGGAAAGCTCCGACACCATTGACAACGTCAAGGCAAAAATCCAGGACAAAGAAGGAATCCCCCCAGATCAGCAGAGGCTTATCTTCGCTGGAAAGCAGCTCGAAGATGGCCGAACCCTGGCCGATTACAACATTCAGAAGGAGTCTACCCTTCATTTGGTGCTGAGGCTGAGGGGTGGGATGCAGATCTTTGTCAAGACCCTCACCGGCAAGACAATCACCCTTGAGGTGGAAAGCTCCGACACTATTGACAATGTCAAGGCAAAAATCCAGGACAAAGAAGGAATCCCCCCAGATCAGCAGAGGCTTATCTTTGCTGGAAAGCAGCTCGAGGATGGCCGCACCCTGGCCGATTACAACATCCAGAAGGAGTCTACCCTTCATTTGGTGCTCCGTTTGAGGGGTGGGATGCAGATTTTTGTGAAGACCCTGACTGGAAAGACCATTACTTTGGAGGTGGAAAGCTCTGATACTATTGACAATGTGAAGGCCAAGATTCAAGACAAGGAGGGTATCCCACCAGACCAGCAGAGGTTGATCTTTGCTGGAAAGCAGTTGGAAGATGGAAGGACTCTGGCTGATTATAACATCCAGAAAGAGTCCACCCTGCACCTTGTTCTCCGTCTCCGTGGTGGTTTCTAAAGAGCCTCACTGTCCTGTTTGAATTGCTTGGTTTGTGTGTTAAGTGCCAAAGCTATAGTAACTTGGCACTGCTGGTGAATTGTGTTTGTTTTGCTTTTGGTTGATGAACCCATGAAGGTTATGTTTCCTTGAATAATAATAATAATAATAATAGCATTACTATTATTATTATTAGGTCCTACTATTTTGTTAGCCCCATTTGTTCTGAACTCTGTTTACTTTTAGTTTAATGTTATTAATATATTTTACCAGGTAAAATGTAATACTATTTTATAGAATACTTTCGTTAAAAATGAGTGTTACCTTCATATCTATCTCAAGTAGTAATCAATTTGAGATCCGTCTACTGGGAGCAACATAGCATTGGCCTTCACGAGAAGGAAGGGACATTATTGCTCCAACCGTGGCAGGAGACATTTTTATAAATAATAATCTGAACTTTATAAATAATTTGAACTTACGTGCAGCAACATAGCTAACAATAAAGACTACATCTCTAGGCTCTAGCCAACAATAAGTGCTTTGATGTAATTTGATTATAATTGTATTGCAATTTGTTTAGTCAACAATAAGTGCCTTTTTGGTTGGATGTAATTTAAATGTAATTACATTGCAATTCACTTTTCCCATCAATTACGTTATTCAATTGAATATAATTCATGGACCTTATTTAAGAATTACAATTCAGTGGTGAAATGGAGAAATATATTATTGTGAAGACATTTTTACCATTATCATTACTTATCTCATGTCGCCCACCGAATTACAATTTATTCTCCCTAATTCCTTTCTTCCAACTAAACCGGTAAAGACTTCATCTCATACTATGTGAAACTACAAAGAAAGGTTTACTTTTTACAAGGCGTTTAAGTTGGAAGAAGAGAATTAAGAAAAAACGAGTAGTAATTTTGTTGGAAAGGAATTTAAATTATATTGTTTGATAGGAAAAAATATAATAATTCTTAAATTACATTGTTTGATAGGGAAGAATAAAATGATTGGGAATGCGAAGAAGTAAATAAAAGTTAAAATGTTTTTGTATAATAATAATAATATAATAATAAATAACAATCATAAGTGATAATTTAATATGCAATTACAATCACACAAATCAAACCATAGAATTGTAATTCCATCCTACCAAAACACCACATTAAAGTGCAATGAAGAATTGAAAAGTGCTATTTGAAACTAGCGACCACTCTAGAGTTCCCAGGAAATCATTATTGCATGTACCATGATTCACACAATTATGTGGATCATAAATAAAAATTACATTTTTAATATACTAAAGCTACATTATTTATGTACGTATAAGGTATATTTTTTGAAAGTACATTTTTAATAGACTAAGAATACATTATTTTATATAATGTATTTTTAATACAAAAATAATGTACTTTTAATATATTAAAAATTACCTGATATTCATGGTCCACACAATAATTTGCCCCGTTGAGAGTGTGGGCCGATGTTCTCTTTTCACCCTTTTTTCTTCCTCACATATTTTTTGGTTAAATTTTTTGACAAAAACTAGCATGATAGAAAAACTCAAATCTCCTCCCTCCTAGACTCGATTAATCACAAACCCTTAAAAACTTAACTAAAGCAATCTAATGGATATGCTCTTATTAATACGGAGTGTTATTATCAAAAGAAGAAAAATAAAGATAAAAAAGGAGTAAAAGATGCTTAATTATATAAATGACTAAGAACATCCCAAGGAAAGAACCCCAATGCCATGTGGAATTTATATGAAAGTTTATAAAAAAAGGAATTTATGAGATTTTGTAATATTTATAAGTTGACATGTTATTTTTTTATTTTGTTATTTTTATTTAACTAGTATTTGCGCCCGTGCGTTGCACGGAATGAATTTGTTATAATATTTTATAAATATTTAGATCGATATACAATTGTATAAATTATAACATCGAATATTATATAATATAATTGAAGAATTGAGTTGCACCGATTATGTTTTCTGATGTTATCAATGCTTGAATTTGAGTAAATAATTGCCCAATTAATAGCTAACGTGTAGATATACGCATTCGGTGCTGCAACTTTAGAGATTTTATATATCAGTGTTTAGAATTTGTATTAATTGGGCTAATTAGCTCGTTGTCTAGCAATTCAGTTATAGAAATTATTTATACGGAAGATATATTTTCTATGTAGATATATAGCAATTTTGTCATCTTTATATATAAAAAACCATAATATCAATGACTTGAATTATACATTATTGAAAATCTCTTTGTAGACAACATTGGTAGTAGTAACACAATTTTATCCATCCTCGTCTAGAGTTAAAATCACCAAACCATCAGGATGGGTGACTCGGGAAAAAGTCACATACAATTAACCGTGATTAAAGACTGATTTTTTCAGTAATAACTCAACGTGAGTTAGTGTTTGACCCTGACTTTTGTTGATAGTCGTGGCATATGCGAGCATCAACATGAGTTGTTTTCGTTAGAACTTGAAGGGCAATCTCGTATCAGAAGGGTGAAAGACATTTTAATTGAAGATTTTACTTTTATTAATAGTATAAATATAGATTGGTGTCAATAATAATTAATAAATTATTATTTCCTTATAAAATTACATAAAATTTCAAATAGATTTTCTCATTTATTACGCAGAATTTGTTTCTGTTATTCTTACAATTATAATGGTTTAATTATTCTCAAAATTTGATAACCATTTTTCTTTTTTAAGTTGACTTTAATTTGTGATAAAAATTCATTAGATATTGGTTAATTTTCATATAAAATTTTGTTACCAATTAAGCTTTATTAATTTTTTTTATCAATTAATTAATATTCACATTAATGTGGGCGGAAATGTTGAAGATGTGAATTTTACTTTTATTAATAGTATAAAGTAAATAATAATTAATAAATTATTATTTCTTTATAAAATTACGCAAATTTCGAACGAATTTTCTCATTTGTTACGCAGAATTTGTATCCATTATTTTCACAATTATAATAATTTAATTATTCTCATAATTTGGTAACCATTTTCTATTTTTATGTACATATTGACTTTAATCTGTGGTAACAATTCATTAGATATTAGTTAATTTTTATATAAAATTTTGTTACCAATTAAGCTTTATTATTTTTTTACTAATTAATTAATATTCATGTTAATTTGGGCTGAAATGTTGTAAATGAGGATTTTACTTTTATTAAAGTCATTTCACTAAGAACCTGGAGCTTGTGGTTGAGTGGAAGGGACACATCCATCCTTATTAACCAAAGGTGAGCAACTTTAAATCTCCAGGCCAAAGCATAAATGATATTGCAATAATTAATTTATTTATGATCATTGGTTCACATATTTGATTTATTTATTTTTTCTTTAATTATTCTCGTTGTAAACATAAATGATATTGCAATAATTAATTTATGATATTTAGCAAGTTGTATTTTTTTTTAAATATAAAATTTTCTCATGTTTAGGGATTAAAAAATATTTTAGAATTATTTTTATTAGTAAGTTTTTATTTTTAAAATATTTTTCAGCAACCCAAACACTCCATTAGTCTATAATAAAAAAAATGAAAAATAAAAGTTATTTCATTAAGAAAATTAAAACTAATTAAAGTAAATCTAATCATGCTATATTTATTTGTAACTGTATATTAATTTCATTTTGAAATCAGTGGTTAATATCTTTGAATTATTTATATTTTTTTTCAACTATTATAAACAAAAATTATGATACTTATCAAATTGTATTTAAAAAAAAAACATTTACACATGTTATGAGGGATTAAAAAATATTTTAAATTATTTTTTATTAGTGTGCATTTTTATTTTAAAATATTTTCCAGCAATCCAAACACTCCCTTAGCCTCCCATCAAGAACGGATAAAGAAAAGTCATTTCATTAAGAAAATTAAAACTAATTAAAATAAATCTAATCATGCTACATTTATTTGTAACTCTATATTAAGTTTATTTTGAAATATTTGGTTCACATATTTGAATTATTTTTTTTTCTTTAACTATTATAAACAAAAATTATGATATTTATCAAATTGTATTTTTTTAAAAAATATAACATTTACACATGTTATGAGGGGTTAAAAAATATTTTAAATTATTTTTATTAGTATGCATTTTATTTTAAAATATTTTGCACTAATCCAAACACTTCCTTAGCCTCTCATAAAAAATTGATAAAGAAAAGTCATTTCATTAAGGAAATTAAAACTAATTAAAGTAAATCTAATCATGCTATATTTATTTGTAACTGTATATTAATTTCATTTTGAAATCATTGGTTCACATATTTCAATATGTTTTTAATTATTATAATTTATAAACAGAAATAATATTGTACTAATTAATTTATGATATTTATCAAATTGTATTTTTTAAAAAAATATAAGATTTACACATGTTATGAGGGATTAAAAAAATATTTTAAAATTATTTTTTATTAGTAAGTATTTAAAAAAAAAAATCACCAACTCAAACACTCCCTTAGTCTCCATAAAAAAACTGATAAAGAAAAGTCATATCATTAAGATAATTAAAACTAATTAAAGTAATTGTAATCATGCTATATTTATTTGTAACTATATATTAATTTCATTTTCAAATCATTGGTTCCCATATTTGAATTATTTTTTTTCTTAATTATTATAAACATAAATAATATTGTACTAATTAATTTATGATATTTATCAAATTGTATTTTGTAAAATATAGTGTTTTACCGGGAAAATTTTTTGTTGTTATGAATTTAAAATTAAAATAAAAAAAATAAAAAGATGTTAAAATGTACAATATAATAATATAGTTGGATTTTTATATATTTGGTCAAGTACCTATTTTCATAACATACAAAATTAAATTTTAAATATTGTATGGTTAATATAATCTCTAATCATGTACATATTTAGATAAATTTATAGAAAAAATTTATAAAATTAAATTGATTTATTCCAAATTGTATTTCATATATATTATAATTCTAAAAATATGAATAATAATAATTAAGAGAATTGTACTTAAAAATCAAAAAAAATGTAAATTCTAAATTTTGTATGAATAAATATAAACTCTAATCAGAGGCATATCATTATCTCTATATCTCTATCTCTATCTCTATATATATTAAAGCAAAATGGTTGACACAAAAATTTTCCCCCCCAAACGTAGGGACATTTTTGTAATATCATTTATTATTATTATTATTATTATTATTATTATTATTATTATTATTATTATTATTATTATTATTATTATTATTATTA